AGAAATTTTTAATTGAATATATATATAAATTAATATTTTAATAATTATTTTGTAGGTTAATACTTGAGCTCTTGTGGATCCTCATTAATTACAAAGTAAATTTCATTTTCACTATATTTTTATAATTGTATAGTTAAATATTAATTTTTTTATTAAATAAAAAATCAATCATTTGTGTATGATAAATTTTGTTGATGATTAAATTTAACATATATATATGTATATATATGATAAATTAGGATTTTAACCAGCTATAAAATATGTGAAAGATATCATAATTATTTTGAAAGTAATCATGTTATTAATTTTATTCTATTGATTTAATAAGATTATGAAAGATCATAGTTGGATGTATAGGCGTCGAACTCCACGATGAGAGATATAAAATGAGTTCTATAATGGAGTTGAATATCTCCTTCAATTTGCATACAATAGCCTTGGTCTTCAACCGAATGATTTAATCAGATGTCCTTACACTAAATGTTTTAATTTACCGTTGATGACTCGAGAAATGGTATGGGACCATCTTACTGAGTATGGTTTTATGAATGCTTATTTTGTTTGGTGGGCACATGGTGAGACATTTGTGAATTCAACAGATCCATGGTCTGCTACTAATCTAGGAGAATCATCACATAGCCAAGATACACACCATGATGAAAGGAATGACTTTCGTGAAATGGTGTATGATGCATTTTGTCCAGAGGATGATGATAATCAGGAAATGGAAGGTAATTTCCCCAATCAACATCTGGACGAGGAACCAAACAATCAAGCAAAGGCATTTTATGACTTGCTTCATGCATCTACAATTCCAATTGGTAGTGCTAAAAGAAATGAGATAGTGCTTAGCTGGCTTTCTTATATGTTGCATACAAAGACTGCAAATAATATAACTACTAATGGCTTTAATGCCATTCTCAAAGGATGTAGGAGGTTGTTAAGTGCTGAAGATCAAAAAAAGTTCCTATAAACTTTTATGAAGTAAAAAAAATATGAAAGGGCTTGGGTTAGATTATCAAAAAATTGATGCTTGTGTTAACAACTGCTTTTTATACTATGGGGAGCATACGAAAACATTGACTACATGTCCAATTTGTGGAGAAGCGACGTATAAACAAAGAAATCTAGGGAGGAATAGACAAAAGGACATTCCGAGGAATTCTCTTTGGTACTTGCCAATAATACCTTGCTTTCAGAGGCTATACATGTCTCAACAAATAGCTAAGCATATGACATGGCATTTGAAATGTTGTGGTGATACGGATGAGGTCATTCATCCAGCACAATCAGAAGCATGGAGACATTTTGATCAAATGCATCGTTCTTTTAAAAGAGAACCTCATAATGTTCGATTAGTTCTTACTACTGATGGTTTCAACCCATGGGCTCATTCTTCAACCTCCTACTCTTGTTGGCCAGTTTTTTTGATTGTTTATAATTTGCCACCAAAGATGTGCATGCGACCAAAGTTTACTTTTCTTACATTGGTCATTGTAGGTCCAAAAAGCCCAGGTAAAAATATCGATGTTTTCCTTCGACCTTTAATTTAAGACTTGAAAATGTTATGGCCGACTGGTGTAGAAACATATGATAGTTATCGTAAGCAAAACTTCATAATGCGGGCTATGTTGATGTGGATCATAACTGATTTTCCAGGTTATGGTATAGTGGTTGGTTGAAGCACTCATGGCCAATTGTCATGTTCTTACTATATGGAGATGACACAATCTTTTTATCTTCAAAATGGTCGGAAACCATGTTTTTTTTATTGTCATCATCAGTTTTTACCGAAATCACATTCTTTTAGATTTGATCAGAGTAATTTCTTGAAGGGTCGAGTTGAATTAGGCAGTCTCCCTCCTCGATTGGATGGTGTTTCAATGCGTCACTGAGTTGAAAACCTTCCTGATGTGTTGTTTGGGAAACCCTCTGAAAACCAAACAATTGAGAGTTTTGGGAACATCCATAATTAGGTGAAAAGGTGCATTTTTTGGGAACTTCCTTATTGGCATGATAATCTTATTCAACATAATCTTGATGTAATGCACTGTGAGAAAAATTTTCTTTGATAATATAATACACACTGTTATGAATGACAATAAGACAAAAGACAACGGGAAAGCAAGATTGGATTTAGCCATTTTTGTGACCGAAGAAAACTACACATGAGATATAATATGCATGGTAAGCTTGTGAAACCTAATGCTAGTTATGCACTGACATCTGAAAAACAAAAGCTTCTATGTGCATGGCTAAAACAGTTGCACTTTCCAAATGGGTTTGCTTCCAACATATTAAGATGTGTCAACTTGAATGAGTCCAGGTTATTTGGGATGAAAAGTCATGATTGTCATGTTTTCATGCAACAACAAATTCCAGTTGCTTTTCGCGGTTTATCGCCATTTGCTATTTGGGGTCCTTTGACCGACATTAGTAACTTCCTTCGTTCACTTTATTCCACGATTATTAAAGTTACTGAGATGTAGAAATGGGAGGCAAAGATTGTTGAAATAATTTATAAGTTAGAAATAATATTCCCCCTAGCATTCTTTGATTCTATGGAACATCTAGCAATTCATCTTCCATATGAGGCCAGAGTTGGTGGTCTTGTTCAATTTCATTGGATGTACCCATTTGAACGGTAAAACATATAAAGAAATTGATAATTTTAAAACTTACTTTTGATTACTTTTTTTTAAATTAATCTTATCAGTATTTCTTTTCAGGTGCATACGCAAACTTAAGAGTACCATAAGGAATAAAATCATGTCGAGGCATCAATTGTTGAGGCATTTTTATTGTACGAGATATCCCACTTCTGCTCTCGTTATTTTGGGGATGATGTTGAGACAAGCTGGAATCAGCCTCCAAGGAACTACGGTGGCATTGGAACCAACGTCCCAGGTAAGTTATCCGTATTTTGTTCCCACGGTGAATCAATAGGTGCCCACTCACGTACACGATGTTTAACATTGGAGGAGAAAGATGCAGTTGAACTACATGTCTTGCTAAATTGCAAGGAGGTTGATGTTTGGGTAACGTAAGTTTACTTCTTAGAAAAATAAGAACTACATGATGTTTAATAGCCTATATGATTTTCATAACGTTTTAATTAATAAATAAATGTTATTTTACATTAAATTTGAGAAAGAAGTTGATGCAAATTTGTCACATGAACAACTACAAAGATTGCGAACAAATAATTTTGTTCAATGGTTTAAAAATATGGTAATAAATTGTTATATATTATTTTCTCAAATTTTTAATTAAATATTAAATATTACTAAATTAATTTTTTTTTTCAAATATAGGTGTTTAGTGGACAATATGAAATCAATGAACAATTTATCCACCTTGCAGTTGGCCCGATCTTTGAAGTGAATGTTTATAATGGGTTCTATGTGAACAGCTTTAGATTTTTGATTGAAGAGTTTATTAGTAATAGAAAGACATATAACTATGGTGTTTGTGTTAAAGGAACCACCATTAATTTTGCAGACGAAACTGATTATTATGGTGTCTTAAAAGAGGTGATCAAGTTATTGTATTATGGACACTCAAGCCATCAAGAAACTATAATATTATTTAATTGAAATTGGTATGACACAAACCGAGGAATACGTGTCAATGTTGAACACAGAATTGTTGATGTCAATCCAAGGTTTAAACTTTCAATGGGGGAGCCATTTTGCCTTGCTAGTCAAGCACAACAAGTTTATTATACTCCATATCCGATAGCCATAGATAGAACTACCCGGGGATGGTTGGAAGCATGCAAAATCAAATCTAGACATCTAATTGAGACCTCGTCTACTTCATCTTCAGAAAAGGTTGATGATATTTTTCAAGATGATGACCCCTCCATAACGCAAGGCTCTTCATTAGTTATAGATTTAACTGCATACCAATCACTTTAACTATGTGCAAAAGGTGTTACAGAAGTTGAGGTTGATGCTAATACATCTGAAGAAGAAGAGGACTATGGAGAAGAAAAAGATTCAAAATCCTCAAGAAATAGTGATAATGTTGAGGATGATGATGATAGCGATGACAGTGATGATTAATTGAAACATTTGTATTATTACTTATTAAATATATGTATTAAAATTTCATTGTCTTATATAAATTGTTTTATCAAGTTATATATTTTTCATTTAAAATAAACTCATTGTATGATTGTTCTAAATTTGTTACTCATTATTTGTATAAATGTATTAATAACTCTTTTGTTATTCATTTTTCAGGATGTCTAGAAATCCTACAGGTTCAACAAGGAGGAGATCTTCCTCCTCAGGATTACAAGAGCAACACAATCTTAATCACCCACAGCTGTTTACTGATAATGGTGTAGCTCCGGATATACAGCAAACTATTGATCCATTAATGGATTATAATTTTGCACCTAATCATGAGAACGAGGGCCCTTCATCCTCGACGGGGAACAAAGGATGGAGTAGGAATTTAAAAGGAATATGCCCTCCAGAAAATAGAGAGAGCAGGAAATGGGTTAAACTCACTAATGATAATGATAAGCTCCAGTTTGCTGATCCAAACATCCCTCGGGCTATCACTTCATTATGGAAGTCACGTTTTGATGGCATGTATTTCACATGTGAGCATGTCCCCCAAAGCAAGATTACTGAAATTTATAATTGTTTCAAGGTAAGATTAAGTTTTAGCAAATTTAATAAAAGGAGTGGAGTTAGCAATTTCTAATAAAAATAAATAATTTCATTACTAAACTAAAATTTATATTTCTCAGACATCTAATGTTATTCATTTCTTATTTTGCAGACACTTTACTAGTGGGATCTTGCAGATAATCGCCACATGCGAGATGCATTCCTAAATTGTATGAAACATAGATGAAGTGACAATCTCAGGGATGAGAAGTTGAAATGGAACAAGAACTCAGCCTATGTCCCATGTTGGATCCCAACTCATATATGGCCTCAGCTGCTGACATATTGGGACTCTGATGAATATAAGAGGCTCAGTGCAAGGGGAGCAAAGAATAGGAGCTCTGGGGAAAGGGTGACTCACACCACTGGGTTCATTAGCTTTGGCATCCATGAGATGCGGATGGTAATCAAGCTTAATTAATAAAAAAATTTAATATATTAAATTTTATTTAACAATAAATTGTGTCAATTTATACTAACCAATATATTGCATTATCAATATTTTAAAATATAGACTAAGTCTAGAGGTGGTGTGCAACCTCCCCATTAGGAGAAATTCAAGGAGACACACACCTTCAGAAAAAAGGCGGGAAAGGATCAAAAGCCAACGTGGATCAATGAAAAAGCAAAGTATCGATATGTAAGTATATATAACATACAAATTAGCATAAAATGTATAGTTATAAGTGTCAAAAAAATTTATGTAATTAATCTAAATTATTTAGCAACATCTACTTTTTTTTATAGATTCTTTTCAAACTACTTTTGACAACATTATTACTATCACTATTATTTTTTTAGGATACTTATGTTGCGGAGTGCATAGAGAGTCATGGCTCTGATGCTAGTTCGTGGCCACGCATGGATAATAAGGCATGGATTAAGGCTTTTGGAGGTTGCTCATCTAATTTCATGCCAAGGATTGGCTCCCAAGTAAATCCAGAGATGATTGGTTTTACTTACAGGAAGAGACAACCTTGAGAAAACTTAATAGCAGCACTAATGGTGTTTGACTATGAGGAGACACAGGCAAAAGAACATGAGGAGTTAGAAAGACAACGCCAACAAATTGCTCTGATGCAACAGTAGCTGGCCAATATGACAGAAGCTCAGAATAATCTGAACCAGACAATCGCACAGTCTGTTGCAGCAGCTCTAGCCGCTCATGGCATCTCCCCTCAGGTAGGTCATCATCCAGTTGCCCCACCACAGCCGTCACATGGTCCTTGCTCAAGTCTTCACATGAATTCAACTTTCACCTACTCCACTGATTCTACACAAACCTTTCCTATGGTTCCTAAATATCAGCAGCAACGACAGTTTCCTCCTTAAGATGATGATGCATACCATCCTACTTTTGATCCAGACTATCAGGGTCCTTATGTTTTTTATTTTTTTGCTACGCACATTATCTGCACACTTTGCATGGTTGGCTTTATTTCTGTTAGTACTTTAAATTGTTAGCTTTAGTTTTTCATTACGATATATTTTCTTATTTTGCTTGACCTCCAGTGATCATACTTCAAAAGGTATGAAGTTTTGGACTGCTTTGGAGGTTAATTATTACTAACTAAATATCGTGGGTATTTAAGACAATGGTATGTGATTGCCATATATACTTTGTGGTTGTTGTTGTAGTTGTGGTTGTGGTTATGGTTATGGTTATGGTTGAAAAGGTATAATTGTTTTTAGCATACTAGACTTGTAGAATATATGTGTTTCTCATTGCAAATGCAGGTAAAAAAAATTGGTTTTGATCATATGTATGAGGAAACTCTGTTAAATTTTTTTTAGAATTTATACCAACTAAAATGACCAAATTGCGAAAAATCTATTGAATAAATTTCAAATTATTGCATTTTTTATCACAAAGTTGTAGTATTGCAAATGCAGATTTAAAAAAAAAAATACCTTCTATCATATATACGGGGGAATTTTGATAATTTTTTTTAAATTTATGTCCTCGAAAATGTAAGAAATATGTTAGATAAATTCAAAAAATGGCATGAAAACAAAATCTGGAAAGGAACTTAGGCAAAATGGATGAAATCTGGAGAGGAAGCTGTGGAATTTTTACTGGCCATACTAGAAACGTACTCCTAGTCGGTAAAATTAATTTCCCACTTGCATCTTGTCAGTGAAGTCGCCAAATTAATACCAACAGGAAGCTAGTCGGTAATTTGGGCGCGGATTGCAAAACTTTTTGATGGGAATCAAGATGACAGCATATCTACTACGTCATGTCCATTACACACCCACGGAGGTCCAGTCACGCGAGTTAGAGCTAAAAAGATGTGTGAAGTTTTAAATGGCCTTATTGAGCAGATCTGGGTTGAAAACAACATACAACAAGCAAATCGAAGCTTGGATGATTATCAAGGCATGGTAAACATCATTCAGGTTCAAAAGAAGCTTAGTTGAGGTCATTTGCACGAAATTACACAGTTTGCGTCAAAATCGCACAGTTCTGCTGCAATTTGTAGCAAACTGATATTTTATGTTATTTTAGGTTATTTTTAGTGATTTTCACATTTTTTGTATTATTTTTGGGTTAAATACCCTTTTTGGTCCCTCTACTATAGGAAAAAGCCCCTTTTTAGTCCCTGTACCAAAAAAATCCCCTTTTTGGTCCTTACTGTTCACAAATCCGGCCCCTTTTTAGTCCTTCCGTTAAATTTTGCTCACGTGGCACGTTAACTTAACTGAAACAGCTGACGTGGTATGCCAACGTGTAAATTTTGCTCACGTGGCACGTTAAATTTTTCCACATCACCTCCCACGTCACTCTCCACTTCCTCCGGCCTTTTTTTTTTTTTCTTTTTTCCCTTTTACCCCCAAGCGAACCCAAG